TAGTGAGAAAAATCGAAAAAACGAACTACAAACATATTAACGCCAAACATTCCGGTAGAATTTATAGAATATTGTAAAAATATATATATATATATATATAGTTATTGATAACTATAACTTGTAATATTACAATTATATGTATATAATATTAAATAATAATATTTAAATAATTGTAAATTTATAATTATTAAAATGTATATTGAGTTAAAAAAAGATTTTAAAAAATATTAGAAAAAAGTAGAATACTTGTGTGAATCTTCTAACTAAGCAAGTCTTGCCTACACTGGCATTTCCTATTAGGACTACCTTAAATAAGTATTTGTAATCATCCATCGTGGCCTATTTTTTATTCCTTTTTTGTTTTTTTTCCAATTTAACTATAATTTTTTTTCTTCAATTTTTTAATAATTAATCTTTATTTTATATTATAATGATAATCAAATGACATTAATTTTTTTGTTGAGTCAGAGATATTAGGAAATATTCTTAACTTAACTGAATTAATCCCCTAACTTATTAAACAACTAACTAATTAACTAAGTAATATTATTAATTAAATAAATTAAGATTAATTTAATAATTAAAAGGCAAGAAAGATTAATTAGGAACCTAATCTAAAAATTACAAAACAACTGTTTGGGTAACATAACACTTCTGACTTCACTGAACATGTTTACAAATTAAATAAATGAAATAGTGAATAATTTTCGGCCAATTATAAGTAAAATAATTAAATAAATATTTATATCAATAATTGAATTAATTAGTAACAACACGAATTTATTATTATTATTTCATTAATTCTGTAATTTATTTGCGAATAACTAAAAGCATCAAGTTCATTAGCAATGGACAGCCAAAGTCTTATATAATAATGATGATTTTAAATTGATTTTAAAGAATAGGTTTAAGTTTCATCTTTTTAATTATTTTACGTGTTTAAATATTGTAATCAATTAATAACTTTTTACTCTTGAAAGGTTCAATATACCACAATATCTAAAACAATTGCTAACAGCTGTTAAAACCATATTCTATATGCTTAATAATGAAATTCATAATGTATTATTTGTATTCTCATTTAATTTCAAACCTTAATGTCGGCATTTTTCAATTGAAACTTTAAAATCTTGCACATATCAGATCTCCCAAGAGATGAGTAGATGGATGGATTCTGATCACGCAATAGCACGCACTGCAGCTTCGCCTCTCTCTCCTCACTACCACAATACGTTAGTTCATTTGTCTTATAGTTAATTTATTTGCTATTATAAAAAAAAATAAATATCGTCAGCAAGTTACAAATCTTCAGAGTTACATCACCAAATAACCATACTCGAATAACTTTTTAAACAATGACGAGTTTAAAAATAGGTTGCACTGGGCCAGAAATAACGTTAACGCCACTAGTGATTTTTGAATGAGAACAATCCACAAACCAGAAATAAAATCTTTGCCGAGTAGTTATACTTAAACTTTAAAATAACACCTAAATCTAAGCCCAATTTATAAATATAAGCTATGAACGTGGTGTAAAACACTGGCCATTCAGCGAACGAAAAAAAACGAAATTTTGCAGCCCTTAATTTGGTGGCTAACACAAAAATGTAATATCGAAAACAGGTGAAGGTACTGTTCATCCTTCAAAACAACAATCAATCGATCGATCGATCGATGTTTGCTTCTTGTCCTCTTGTCCGCTTGCTAGTTCATTTACTGGTTTGTTTGACGATGTCTAGCCGGGAAAATAATTTAGTCCAGCCGGAAAAATAATTTAATATGGCTCTCTACTTCGCATGTATGGAACAACAACTCAGTGAAAACGTGAATTTTGTTCCTAAATAATCAAAAAGAAGAATGAGTGAGTGAATGAACGAATGAGCGAGTGAACGAATGAATGATCCCTAAAAGGTTAAGTTTCTAAATTATAAAAATCACAACGACCGAATAGAGAGAGAGATGAGAGAGAGAGAGAGAGATATTTGTGGAAATTTGTGAAAAAATGGCTAAAAAAAGACCAAATAAAGTGTTTTATTGGTGTTTCATCATCATCATTCAATCTAAACGTTTACAGAAAATAAACAGTAACGAGCTAAAAATCAGTGGTAAATAAATTAAAAAAACGAACATGAAATTTAATCCTAATGTATACTTTGTTCGTTATGCGTGGATATTATTATCATGGATAATAATGCACAAATGCACGGCTAACAACAATGTCATTTCAGTTTTTAAAATCTATAAAGTTCGAATAAATAATAATAATAATAATTGTTACAATAACGATAGTAATATTAATAATAATAACGCTGATAAAACTATATATATATATATATATATATATATATATATATATATATATATATATAAATGTAATGAGAAAAAAAAGCAATAATTAATTAATATCACATTACAAATATGAATTTTTCGTTCGAAAAAAAATTATACTTAGACAAACACACACACACACACACACACACACACACACACACACACACACACACACACACACACACACATATATATATACACACACATATAAAGTATAAATAACTGTTCTATAAATAGCGAAACCACAAAAAATT